AAATTTGGACACAAGACACCTATCAGGCCAACAAGTGACCATGACTCATCAAAACACTGAAAAACACAGCAGAGAATATTTAAAAAGCCACCCCCCCCCCCAAAAAATTACAATACATGCGCAAAACTGCATATATACATGCAAACACACATATATACACATATACACATACAAAACACATATACACAGACTGGGACACAGAAACGTGTGGCGGGGGATGGCTAGTAGATTATAAAATTTTATAATATCACAAAGGACTACCATCTCACCCACTTCATGGGAAATCTAATACAAAACAGGAGCCTTTTTGTTGAGTTCCGGGACCAGAGAACCAGATGGCAAAACAGAAGCATAGCATGCCTCAAGGGAGCGTGCTTGCTCCATCCATGTTTAACTTTTACACAAATGATCGGTCACTGCCAGAGATTCTCATCTATGCTGATGATCGTACCTTCATTGCCCAAGCAGGGAGCTTTGAAATGGTTGAACAGAAGCTCTCTGAAGCTTTAGGTGCTCTTACTGCCTATTACAGGGAAAACCAGCTAATTCCTAATCCATCTAAAACACAGACATGTGCTTTTCACCTTAAGGGAAAAAAAGCATCTGAGGATTACCTGAGAAGGAATCCCACTGGAGCATTGCAACATACCCAAATACCTGGGAGTAACTCTGGACCGTGCTCTGACTTACAAGAAGCACTGCTTGAATATCAACCAAAAAGTGAGGGCTAGATATAATATCATACGGAAGCTGACTGGCACAACTTGGGGATCACAACCAGATACAATGAAGACATCTGCCCTTGTGCTTTGCTACTTTGCTACTGAATACGCATGCCCAGTGTGGAACACATCTCACCACACTAAACCAGTGGGTGTGCCTCTTAATGAGACATGCCACATTGCCACAGGATGTCTATGTTCTACACTGTTGGGAGAAATTATACTGTTTAGCCGGTATTGCACCACCTGACATCTGCTGGGAAGTAGCAGCCAATAATGAAAGGACCAAGGCAGTGACATTAAAACAGTAGATAAAACAATTGATTAACACACGCCTATTAAAATCGGAATCTAAAATCCAGTCCGGGTCAAATCATTGCCACAAATGTTAAAAACTTCTTTTACTTGCTGCTCACTAATCGAACGCTTGGTCCCAAAGCCAGGTCTTGATTTTCCTTCTAAAGGCCATTCTGATGTCTCTGGAGAGAGTGTTCCACAGATGGGGGGACACTGCTGAGAAGGCCCTGTCCCTTGTCCCCACCAATCGCGTTTGCGATGTCAGAAGGGTCGAGAGCAGGGCCTCTCCAGATGATCTTAAGTTTCATGATGGTTCATACCATGAGATATGTTCGGACAGGTAGTCTGGGCCAGAACCGTTTAGGGCTTTAAAGTTTTAAAGATAGGAGGAAGGAAAGAGAGAAAGAAGGAAGGACAGGATGGTGTGTTGGAGATAGGGCCTGAGAAAAGAGTGCACATCCAGTCCCCGGGTTTGCCCATACCTGGTCTATACTGAAGAATTAATGCAGTTTGGCATCACTTTGACCGCCATGGCTCAATGATTTTGAATTCTGGGAGTTGCAAGATCTGTAGCCTTCTCCTACAAAGAGTAATGACACCTCACCAAACTACAAATCCCAGGACCCTATGGCATTGAGCCCTCAAAGTCCAAGTGTAGAGGCACCCAAAGATGCCCTTTACGGTTTAGAATCATAGAATCCAAGAGTTGGAAGAGACCTCATGGGCCACCCAATCCAAACCCCTGCCAAGAAGCAGGAAAATTGCATTCAAAGCACCCCCGACAGATGGCCATCCAGCCTCTGTTTCAAAGCTTCCAAAGAAGGAGCCTCTACCACACCCCGGGGCAGAGAGTTCCACTGCTGAATGGTTCTCACAGTCAGGAAGTTATTCCTAATGTTCAGATGGAATCTCTTTTATTGTAGTTCGAAGCCATTGTTCCATTGCATCCTCGTCTCCAGGGAAGCAGAAAACAAGCTTGCTTCCTCCTCCCTGTGACTTCCTCTCACATATTTATACATGGCTATCATATCTCCTCTCAGCCTTCTCTTCTTCAGGCTAAACATGCCCAGCTCTTTAAGCCGTTCCTCATAGGGCTTGTTCTCCAGACCCTTGATTATTTGAGTTACCCTCCTCTGGACACATTCCAGTGTCTCAATATCATTCCAGCTTGTCAATATCAAGCTGGTTCGTGCATTTTGAAAGAGCAAATGGGCTTGACCTCATGTAAGCTGCCCCGAGTCCTCTTTGGGGAGATGGTGGCGGGGTATAAATAAAGATTATTGTTGTTGTTGTTGTTGTTAAATACTCTACGTGAACAGATGACAATTATTATGATTGTTATTGTTGTGTTGTTGTTGTTGTTATTAAATACTCTACGCGAACAGATGACAATTGTTTTCCTTACATTTCCCCCTCTGTGTTGGTCAAGAACTTTGTTGGCAGAATGAAGTTCTCTTGCCATTCTCTGATCCGAAAAACATTTTGGGCCCCAGGCTGAAACTTCTCAATGACGGTTCAGTTTTTAAGGAAAGGAAAAGGAACCAAAGCTTGGGCTCAGGCTCGAAAGAGAGGATTTCAGGAGTCACCCCAGCCTCTGGAGTAAATACGTAATTAAGTCGGGTTTTCGAAAAGCTTGCTTAATTAGCCCCCTAAGCCCCCCTTAATCGATTCCCCGATCTCTCCCCAATTAGGCCTCCGATTCCCAGGGGACCTGAGTGGCTCGGTTAATTATGCAAATAAGGAACACACTCTTCTCAGGGAAAAGAGTTATGAATATTTGCGGGAAAACACATCTCTTGGCGTGTTGGAGAAAGAAAAAGACAATTGTCCTACATTTTGAAAAAAAACCAAGAGTCCTGATAACAGTGAAAAGAGCCATTCAAGTGTTGGTTTCGATGTGAGCGGGGCCAAAACGCACCGTAATTCTCATTCATTCATACATTCATTCCCTTCCTCCTTCTCTCTCTCTATATATAATATAATGCCAAATCAAAGCTAGTTTCACATACACTGTGATATCTGGGATGACTGGGAATTGGTGCATTTGGAGGAAAAGGCCTACCTGATCAAAACTGTATTTCAACACTTATTTACTATTTATTTACTATATTTATATACAATCCTTCAGAGCCCACAGGTGACTCGGGACGGTTTACAGTTGGTACCAAGACCATAAAATACCATTTTAATATAATAAAACAATCAAATAATAAAACCATTACAGAATCAATAAAATCAATAAAAATATATAAATTAGGGTCCCCTCATTAAAAAACATCATCCAAGTAGCAGCCAATGAGATTTCGAGAAACAAAAATACTCTTCCCCTTTGTGCACATTGAGACCTGAATGAAATCCTAATGAGATGAGAAGGTTTCTCAGCCTTCGCACCACCACACTTACACTCTTTTTACTCCATTTGTCAATGTGTTGTCCACCTACTGATGTTGGCGCAGCTATACCAGTCAACAGGACCTCAGCCCTTCCACGAGTGTTTTCTAATTTAACCAAGCTCTTATCAGTGCTTTGAGAAAAGAGGAAAATGTCTTCTACCTTTCTGGGAGCAAAAGTACAACTCAAATGTCAGACTTAAGCTTGCAAACAAAGAAAGAGGGGACAGGATTCAGCTTGTAACCCATTCGTTTCCAATGTCTGCCTTCCTTGGGTAGAGAGAGGCTTGAAATGGGAAAACATCAGATTCGTGGAATGTACAATATGTGGAGCAACAAAGGAATGAATCAGTTCAGCAAAAGAAGCATTCTCTCCTGACGCTTCGCCCCCATCTATGGCAGGCATGCTCAGAGGTTGTGAGGTCTGCTGGAAACTAGGCAAGTGGGATTTATCTATCTGTGATATATATATATACACACACACACACACAAAATATAATATTATATATATAATAATTATAATAATATTTATATAATAATTATAACTATATATAACGATAATTATAATTATATCTATCTATCTGTGGAATAATGTCCAGGGTGGGAGAAAAAACTCTTGTCTGTTTCCAGACAGGAAACAATCAGCTAACACCTCCCATCAAAGGATTCCCCCAGGCAGGAAGCAGCTGTGCTTTGAAGCTGCAAGGCCATTCAATGCTAATCAAGGTGGCCAAGTGCAACATTCCCACCTGCCTCAAGCAGACAAGAATTCTGTATCCCACTCTGGACATTCCACAAATATATAAACCCCACTGTCCTAGTTTCCAACAGACCTCGCAGCCTCTGAGGGTGCCTGCCATAGATGTGGGTGAAACGTCAGGAGAGAATGCTTCTGGAACATGGCTACACAGCACGGAAAACTCACAGTGATTCTGGCCATGAAAGCCTTCATGGGGCTCTGGGGGAAGGCTTTCAACAACACAATAAGAAAAGAAGCTTGACATTATATATTTTATATTACATGTAATATTATGAATAATATTACAATATAATGGTGTAGTAATTAATATAATACATTGTATATACATTTAATATTTATAATATTATAATGTAATGCGATATAATACTACTAATTATATTATGATTATGTATTTATATTACATGTAATATTACTAATAATATTACAATATAATTGGTATAGTACAATATAGTAATATATAATACTGAGACTGTACTATGCTAACAATTTAATATATTTTATGTATATATATATATATTGTAAGCTGCTCTGAGTCCCCCTCAGGGTGAGAAGGGCGGCATATAAATGTCGTAAAGAAAAAAAGAAAGAAATAATCTGGGGGTTGAGGAAGACATGATTGTAACCCTCCCCAAAAATGCCCTGATCCCTATGGATCATAATGCAAAATAAACTCCATCTTGAAATCTGGACAGATGCTTACATCAATCATCATCATAATGTATTTCGCAAAGGGATCTCAAAACCACCGGAATTATTGTTAAATGCCTGAAATGTATTTGGACTGGAAAGGAAAACATTAAAAACTATCTGTTTTTGTATGATCTTGCCTACCTTGCCATCGAATTTTGAATATTCGTTGAAGGGGTTGTTCAGCTGGAGAGGACACTGCTCCAGTCGGACTGAGAGGATCGATGGCTTCGAGGCATTTGCGGGCCTTAATCTGAAGTTCTTCTTCTCAAAGAGGGTGCTCAGGTCCTCCACTACCGAGAAAAGAAGAATGTTTCCAGATGTACAGAGATCAAAACACAGGAGGAACGGTTGAAGGAGGTGCTTGAGAAGTCTGAGCAATTGAGATGAATGCATTCTTTCAAATATCTTAAAGCAGTGGTTTACAACTTGTGGTTCGTGGATAACCAATAAAATATTGTCCATGGCTTCGCTGTGACTACTATGGATAATAACACAGCCCAATCCCCCCCCCCAAAAAAATTATTGGTGTCTTTGTTTTTTATATCTGTTTCTGGGGTTATTTTGGGTGCTTATTCAGAAAATTTCATTGGATAGACCACATCAGATCTAGATTATTAAATATGATTTTCTGTGGGTGAGCAGATGGCGACTACTGGATGGCATATGTTCTGTATCAGAAACTAGAGCTAATGTGGTCTATCCAATGCAATTTTCCGAATCAGCACCCAAAATAACCAAACTTAATCTAAAGTTGACCAAACCCCGATTCGTAATCCTTTTGGACCCTTGTGACCCTCCCAGGGCCCCAACCCCCGGATGAGAAACACTGCTATAAGAAGTATAAGAAGTTCACAGTGCTCTCTGGATGTAGGTGAATGACAACTCCAAAAAACAAGTTCAATGCCCACCAGTATTTTCTGTTGGTCATGGGAGTTCTGTGTGCCAAGTTTGTTTCAATTTCATCATTGGTGGAGCTCAGAGTGCTCTTTGATTGTAGTTGAACTAGAAATCCCAGCAACTACAGCTCCCAAATGACAAAATCAACCCCCCCCCCCCACCTCACCAATATTCAAATATGGACATATAGCAATGAAAATAATGTTATGGTTGGGGATCACCACAACATGAGAACTCTATTAAGGGGTCATGGTATTAGGAAAGTTGAAAAACACTGCCTTATAGGGATTTATAGGACTGCTTATTGGAGGGAAGGATAGTAGAGGCCAAGATGAAGTACTTTGGTGCATCATGAGAAGAAAGGAAAGCTTAGAGAAGACAATTATGCTAGGGGAAAAGGAAGGAAAAAGGAAGAGGGGCGGACTAAGGGCAAGATGGATGGACGGCATCCTTGAAGTGACTGGATTGACCTTGAAGGAGATGGGGGTGGTGACGGCCGACAGGGAGCTCTGGCGTGGGCTGGTCCATGAGGTCACGAGGAGTCAGAAACGACTGAACGAATGAACAATAAATAGGGATTTATGGTTACCAGATCATTGATCACTTTTGTCTCCCTTCTCCGGACACCTTTCAGCTTGTCAATATCACTCTTTAATTGTAGCTCCCCAGAACTGGTCAGGTTTCAGGTCCCTTATATCGTCAGACTCTAGCCAGGTTTTTATCCCATACACAACACAAGTAGCAAACATGCAAGATGTGCGCTTAAGAGAAGGGGTTCACAAACTTTTTAAACAGAGGACCAGGTCACACTCCCTCAAACTGTTGGAGGGCCGGATTATAATTTGAAAAAAACACGAACGAATTCCTATGCACACTGCACATAACTTATTTGTAATGCAAAAATACCCTTTAAAACAATACAATAATTAAAATGAATAACAATTTTGACAAATATAAACTTATTGGTATTTCAATGGGAAGCGTGGGCCTGCTTTTGGCTGATGAGATAGGATTGTTGTTGTTGTTGTTGTGTGCTTTCAAATAATTTCAGACTTAGGTTGACCCTGAGCAAGGGATGGGTAAATGAGCTTGGAGGGCCGCATCCGAACCTTGGGCCTTAGTTTGAGGACCCGTGCTGAAGAGAGACACGAGGCTGGAGAAAGATATGCTAAGATGGGAGACATTGATTCATATCATTATACTTGGATTTTTCCCATTTCACAGATATTTGAAAATCCGAAATCCAAAACACTTGTGGTTCCAGCCCCTTAATACAGTCACGCATGTTGTGGTGACACCTAACCATAACATTATTTTCATTGCTACTTCATAACTGTAATTTTGCTACTGTTATGAATCGTTGTGTAAATATCTGATATCCAGGATGTATTTTCATTCACTGGACCAAATTTGGCAAAAAATACCCCCATATATCCAAGTTTGAATACCGGTGGAATTTGGGGGAGGGATTGACTTTGTCATTTGGAAGTTGTAGTTGCTGGGATTTATAGTTCATCTACAATCAAAGAACATTCTGACATTCAGTTCCAATGATGGAACTGAACCAAACTTGGCACACAGAACTCTTATGACCAGCTGAAAATACTGGAAGGGTTTGGTGGCCATTGACCTTGAGTTTGGGAGTTGTAGTTCACCTACATCCAGAGAGCACTGTAGACTCGAACAATGATGGATGTGGACCAAACTTGGCATAAATACGCAATATGCCCAAATGTGGTGGAGTTTTCTGATGGTCTTAGGCAACCTCTCTGACACCCCCTTGTGACCCCCACCCAGAGGTCCCAAACCCCAGGTTGAGAAATGCTGAGATAAGGGATATTCAACATACAGGCCATTTCCCCTCTTTTCCTTTATTACAATCAATCCCAGATCCGCTCAAGATTTCCATTCGGTAAAGTGATTCCTCCCAAACAGATGCTACAGCAATCTACAGAGAAGAATTCCAAGATTCTGCGTCCGTACCAATGCCTCCCCAGTGCATCCCAAGGAACGGAGCTGCATATTGAAATGCTTACTGCTCATGCTCCAGCCAAGGAAAATTGCAGACCCAGGACTCTGGGGGAAGGCTTGGCCCCAAGAAATAACTCCACAAAGTACCACAAAAACCTAATTGGAAATGAAATTTGGGTGTGGGCAAATAGTCTTCCAAATGAACATAATAGCTGGCCAAAGGAATATGCAGCAGTGTTATCAAAAGAGATAATCATTGTCTGCGGAGTTTGCCCACCTCTCTGGGGTATCTTCCCTCCCCGCACTTTCCCGGTATCCGCACCTGGGCGTCCTCCATCTCAATATCCAGCCAAAGCCACGACTTAGTGGTAGTTTGACAAGTTTTTAATTCCGTCGTTTAGCAAACGGAGCCCACCCGCCTGCCTGCCTGCCCCCCACCTCGGCACGACATCCGCTCTGGAAGTCCCCGCTCAATCTGCCTCGGCAGCAGTTCCAATCCTCCGGAGGGGCGGCGTGTAAATCTTTGGGACGTGCACCAATCCAGGCAGTGCGAGTCGGGGAGCAGAAAGGGAGCCAGGGCGGGCAGCTTGGATGCTGATCTGCCAAGGGTGATTGATGGAGAGTGGGGAGCCCAGGCTCCTGGAGCAGATGCGGCGCAAACCCCACCCAGAAAAGAGAGCGGCGCTAATGGGCCCAAACTCGACAGGTCCTGAGCTGCATTCATCCATCCTCATTCCTCCCCCCCCCCCCCCCCCCCCCCCCCCCCAGTTTTTGAGATATAAGCCGATGGGTGTTTTCGTTAATTAGCTAAAACAAACCTCCGCCTCTCGTATATCATTGCTTCATTCCTGTTCTGGTGCAAATGTAATGATTCCGAGCCCTGCTAAAGGGGTTAAGTTTTGCCAAAAGGTGGATCTCCACCCTAGAATGAATACAACACTTTTAACTGCCACGCGAATCTGGGAGTTGTGGTTTTACATGGTTCTTAACCAAAACGATGACTTTAGGACTCCATAGCCTTGATGCTGTGAAAGTGGTGTCAAACATGGAAAGTGGTGTCAAACACAGACTTGTCGTTTGGTAAAGCATCAGAAGAGAAGGCTCAAGACCTTGTAAAACTACAGTTCCCATGATTCCATAGTGTTAAGCAATGACATCAAATTGCATTGGTTCGACCCAAAGGCCCTCTTGGGAGTTTTGCTTGGCACTTTCTAAATCAGTGGTTCCCAAACTTTTTTTTGACCAGGGACCACTTCACCAGGGATCAACTTGGCCAGGACTACTTTGACAAGGGACCACTAGACCAGGGACTACTTGACCAGGAACCACTTTGATCAGGGACCACTTGAACAGGGATCACTTTGACCAGGGATCATTTGACCACGGACTACTTGACCATGGACCACTAGACCAGGGACTACTTGACCAGGGACCACTTTGACCAGGGACCACTTGAACAGGGATCACTTTGACCAGGGACCACTTGAACAGGGATCACCTGACCAGTGGCTCACTGGTGTGAGCCTCTGTTCTGCCTCGCACGCTCTCCCTTGCCCCACACATGCACACCACTCTGCCATGCATCGAGCACGGCTGCTCTCCCCTCTCCGCTCGGAGACTCAGAAACAGCCCTCCCCTTGGCTGAGAGGCTGGCTGAGAGGCCGGCCAATCACAGTAGGAGGGCTTTTGGTGGAGCTATTGATTTATTTATTTTATTTCTGCTATTTCTACCCTGTCTCTTCTCCACCCCCGATGGGGGACTCAGGACAGCTTACATTTGGCAACTATTCGATGCCGCTATACATAAACAATTCCAATAATACAACAACAATTACAATACATAAAGGATTAATTAAAACAATACATAAATCATTAATTAAAACAATAAAACAGTATCCCCAGCTGTATTGCCTTACCAGTCAATTTCCCACTAAAGTGTTAATTATGTCTGCTGTCCGAAAGCCTGGTCTCAAAACCACAATTTCAATTTTTTCCTGAAAGCCAGGAGGGATGAAGCCGACCGTATCTCATTTGGAAGCACGTTCCACAGGCGGGGGGCCACGGCCGAGAAGGCCCTGTCTCTCGTCCCCACCAAACGCATTTGTGATGTTGGCGGGAGCGAGAGCAGGGCCTCCCCGGATGATCTTAGATTACGAGGTGGGATGTAGAGGCAGATGTGTTTGGACAAGTAAGCTGGGCCAGAACCGATAGAGCAGTGGCTCTCAACCTGTGGGTCCCCAGATGTTTCTGCCTTCAACTCCCAGAAATCCTAGCTGCTGGTAAACTGGCTGGGATTTCTGGGAGTTGTAGGCCAAAAACATCTGAGGACCCACAGGTTGAGAACCACTGGTATAGAGCTTAATAGGTCAAAACCAGCACTTTTAATTGAGATCGGAAGTGGATCGGCAGCCAGTGGAGCTGTTGTAACAAGGGGGTAGTATGCTCCCTGTATGACGCTCCAGTTAGTAATCTGGACTAACTGAAGTTTCCGAACCGTCTTCAAAGGCAGCCCCACATAGAGTGCATTGCAGTAATCTATTTGGGTTTTGCCCTCTGTTTCCCAAATTGAAGAGAAGGACAGGTAGAGAGATATTCAGCCTTCTCTGCCAAAGAAGTTCCAAAGACCATCAGAAATATATTGTTTTCTGATGGTCTTTGGCGACCCCTCTGAAGCCCTCTCCAGGCACCCCCTTCCAAGATTGAGAAACACTGGTTTACCACATTTTTCAAGGAATGTTTGTTTAATGGATCTCATATTCTCTCTGCAGAAACTTAGGAAGCTAGTCTCTGCAAAAAGACTCACCAGAAATCAGGTTTTTTTGGGTTGTCTGAGATGAGCACTTCCCCCGACTCCATGACATAACATTTTTACAAACAAACTATGTTCTAAACAAAACAGCTTCAAAGCCAAAGCCAGACAATCATGACAAATACATGGATTAATACCTGAACAGGACGTATTTCTCTCTTTCCATTGCACATTCTTGCATTTTATCTGATTTTGCCTCTCTTTCCGTAGCCGTTCGAGTCTCTGAGCTGAAGGGTGGGGGTTGGAGGGGAAAAAGGCAGAAGAAATATGATAACGATAAGTTTGTCAATGAAAGTTTACTATAAACAAAAGACATAATTAACTACCTCTCTATGAATAAAGATGCTTTACGCTGCGCATGAAGGTTGGGGGAAAAAGTCATAAAATTTTAAAGTTGGCACCCCTGAAAAGCAAATACCAACAAAAACACGAAAATGTTCTTGATTTATAATTGAAATTAGAGGATATAAAACATTAATAGAGATCATAAAGATAGTATTAACATGGAAGAGAATAATAAAATGTGAAAACTTCTGTGATTAATATGACATTTCATTATATAAATCATTAATAACGGTCTTAAAGGAATTTTAATGCGCAAATGAACTGGAGTGAATATTACATTACAGGAATAAAATTACTGTTATGAATTACTCTCCCCGTTTCAAAAATTAAAGATAAATGAACTCAGACTAGACTATTAAAGTTTTAAATATAAAATCCTCTATCTAAAAAAAAAATATCGTGAAAATTACAAAATGTCAACGCGATATAAATTAGCATCGCTTTTCCTTCAGTATGCTGAAACGGTTTATAGGTACTAAAAAATATAAATGATTTGTATCTCCGCGACATTAGTCAAATCTTAAAAAATGAATATCATTTCTCCTTTTACGTATATTTTTTTTGACTTCACATCCAAAACACATGACACGCTCAAATAGGTGAAATATCAATCCCAGGGAAAGCCAAGTCTTTCCTCCTGCCTCAAATTCCTCCTATCAGGTTTCTATTTTCTACTTCCCCAAAATGTCAATTTAAGAGAAGTTTGTGAAAAAATAAAAACGGCGTCTGTGAAAATATATTGGCTTCTAGGAAACAGCTATGGGAGATCTGTTGTTGGTTTTCTTTTGTTTTGTTGAGACAAAAAATACGTATTATTGAAGGTTTTCATGGCCGGATTCACTGGGTTGTTGTGAGTTTTCTGAGCAGTATGGCCATGTTCCAGAAGCATTCTCTCCTGACGTTTCGCCTACATCCATGGCAGGCATCCTCATAGATGGGGGTGAAACGTCAGGAGAGAATGCTTCTATGGCAGGCATCCTCAGAGGTTGTGAGGTCTGTTGGAAATTAGGAAAATGGCGTTTATATATCTGTGGAATGTAAACGGTGGGAGAAAGAACTTTTCTCTGTTGGAGGTAGGTGTGAATGTTTCAACTGACCACTTTTATTAGCATTTAATGGCCAAGCAGTTTTCAAGGTATGACTTCTTACTGCCTGGGGGAATCCTTTGTTGAGAGGTGATTAGCTGTCCCTGATTGTTTCTTGTTTGGAGTTCTCACAACCTCTGAGCATCCCTGCCATAGATGCAGGCAAAACGTCAGGAGAGAATGCTTCTGGAACATGGCCATACAGCCCGAAAAACTTACAGCGACCCAGAAATATATATTGTCAAAGGCTTTCATGGCTGGAATCACATTGTTGTTGCGCGTTTTCCGGGCTGTATGGCCATGTTCCAGAAGCATTCTTTTCAGCACACCAATGCCTTAAATCAAGAAATACTTTTCTACGATCTACAGAGATACACGCAGAAACACCTCAGCAAGCAAGAGTCCAAAAGTGGCAGGCTAAACACAGAACCTCAAGTGTGAATGTTGCCACTGTCCAACTTGATTAGCATTGTATGGCCTTGCAGATTCAAAGCTTGGCTGCTTCCTGCCTGGGGGAATCCTTTGTTGGGAGGTGATTAGCTGGCCCTGATTGTTTATTGTCTGGAATTTCCCTGTTTTTGAGTTTTGTTCCTTATTTACTGTTCTGATTTTAGAGATGTTTTTAATACAGGTAGCCATGTTTTGTTTATTTTCATGTTTTCTTCCTTTCTGTTGAAATATGACTGACTGGCCAAGTGAGCAGAATGTCAATGCAACTCTGAACACGCTTGCTAAGAAACAAAACCATCTCGACCCAAATAAAGTGAGAGTTATGATAAAGTAAAGCTGCCTGGGATTAAGCTGTTGGGTCTTTCAAGGTTTTGTGCTTCCGCTCAGAGCCAGAGACTCTTGGCACAAAGAAACAAGGAGCAGAGATAATGGAAGACTTACTTTGGCTCAGGTACTTTTCACTGAAGTGCAGAACCAAGTAGGGATTATATGATTACTTTTGAAATTCTAAATCAAATGTCTTAAGGTAAGTACTTTGAGGGGATGAATCCTATTCTTCAGTGACATTCGCTGAAAGACTATAAAATGAGATACCAGCCTGTGATGTTGTAGACCTTTTGGATATTTTAATTATAACATGAATCACAGTTATGTATGCGTTATACTGGAAGGTAAGGATCAGTTGGGAGAATACTACTACTACTACTACTACTACTACTACTACTACTACTAGCATATATACGTGGCATTGCCTGAGTGTCATTTGGATTGTTGCTTTTTTCCTTCTCCGGGTCTGAGAGGACCTACTTTCTTCCTTCTCCAGGTCTGAGAGGACCTACTTTCTTCCTTCTCCAGTTCCGAGAGGACCTACTTTCTTCTTTCCCCAGCTCTGAGAGGACCTACTTTCTCCCTTCTTCAGCTATAGGGGGACCTGCTTTCTTCCATCTCTAGTCCCGAGGGCCTACTTTGTCCCTTCTCCAGCTCTGGGGGCCTACTTTCTCCCTCCTCCAACTCCGAGGAGGCATTTTCTCCCTTCTCCAGCTCTGAGGATGCACTTTCTCCCTTTTCCAGCTCTGAGAGAACCTACTTTCTTCCTTCTCCAGCTATGAGAGGACCTACTTTCTCCCTTCTTCAGCTCTAGGGGGACCTACTTTCTCCCATCTCTAGTCCCGAGGGCCTACTTTGTCCCTTCTCCAGCACTGAGGATACATTTTCTCCCTTCTCCAGCTCTGAGCACCTATTTTCTCCCTTCTCCAGCTCTGATATGATAGTTTTTTCCCCTTCTCTAGCTTTGAGGGCCTACTTTGTCCCATCTCTAGTCCCGAGGGCCCACATTCTCCCTTCTCCAGCTCTGAGGATACACTTTCTCCCTTCTCCAGCTCTGAGGACCTACTTTCTCTCTTCTCCAGCTCTGAGAGGATGGGTTTTTTTCCTTCTCCAGCTCTGAGGGCCTACTTTTTCTCTTCTCCAGCTCTGAGAGGATCTACTTTCTCTCTTCTTCAGCTCCATTTTCTCCCTTCTCTATCTCTGAGAAGGCCTATCTTACAATGTCTCTTTGGCAACACTTTGACAATGGTGGGCAGGCTCTCTTTGTGGCTCTTTCCTGCCTTTCTCCTTTCCCCACAGACACATGTCACCTTTCTTTCCCAGTCACATTACAGGGCCACTTCACCTAGCAACAGGATTCATGGCAGAAACAGACAGACAGAAAAACATACATTCATAGGCTGACTTTTATTTATATAGATTTATTTATACCCCACTTTATCTCCTGATTGAAAGAATGGGATGCTGGAAATGAAAGCTGATTGGTGGAATGTCTTGGAAGATTCTGAAAATACTGGTCTATGACAATTGACCAGGAAGAGAGTAAGGAGAGCACAAAAGTCGCCCTTTAGTGAAGTAACAGAATGACCAGTACCAGCGTTACATTTTTCGTTTTTAACAAAGGAACGCATTTGTTAATTCTAATATGCTTTCAAAGGTAGCCATTTTGAGTCATTTCTTCTATTTTAAAAAGTATGGTTTATTTGAAAAAGTATACCAAAATCACATGAGTTACTAATGCATTGCTCAAGTAACAAGTAATGCCTAATTCCTTGCTTTAAACATAATGTTCCATGCACTGCTCCTAATAATAATAGGAATAATCGTCACCTGCATAAATGGTAAGTACTATTATTATTATTATTGCTCTCGTATCTCAAGCAACAGGACCTGCTTGGCATTGTTCCTGACGCGACCCGCTTTTGTTCTGTGCAGCGGGAGAAGCCAATTTCCAAGAAGGCAGTGCCAACCTACAGATTGTAGTCTTTGTGCGTAATTACAGCAAACTGCGAGGCTGCGAGAGAGAACATTTCCCTGATCAGCTGTCACGGCAGCTTGGGGTCCCACCCTCCAACTCCCCCAACCTAAAATATTGATTTCTCCACAGATATATATATATATATATAAATGCTGTGCTGGTAACTTCAGCAAAACATATTTCCGAGCTCTAGGTGGTGTTCTATTACTTCCCAAAAGCAAGCGTTTAGATCTCCCTGCTGCTTAGCAGCAAACCAGGGCTTCTCTTGGCATCCCTGGAACAACTCCCATCCTTCCAGAAACTATGAACAAGCCCCTACCTGTATTTATTTTATTATTCCTTATTTTATTATTATATTAAATACCTCTGAGGATGCTTGCCATAGATGCAGGCGAAACGTCAGGAGAAATGCCTCTAGAACATGGCCATATAGCCTGAAAAAACCTACAACAACCCAGTGATTCCGGCCATGAAAGCCTTCGACAATACATTAAATAGAATAATAACATATAAGAATATAAAAGAGAATATAATATAAAATGTTATGGAAGGGTGGGATCCGCAATTATTTTTGCCTCTGCAATTGGAGGGAACTATGATAATAACAGAGGAGAAATATGTTTCTCCCTTCTCCAGCTCTGAAAAGGACGACTTTCTCCATCTCTGAAAAGGACTACTTTCTCCATTCTTCAACTCTGAGAAGGCCTACCTTCTCCAGCTCTGAGACCTACTTTCTCCCTTCTCCATCTCTGAGGTCTACTTTCTCCCTTCTCTAGTTCTAAGGAGGACTACTTTCTCCCTTCTCCATCTCTTAGGTCTACTTTCTCCCTTCTCCAGCTCTAAGGACTACTTTCTTAGGTCTTATCCAGCTCTGGAAAGGCCTGCTTTCTCCCTTTCTCCAGCTCTGAGACCTACTTTCTCCCTTCTCCACCTCTGAGGTCTACTTTCTCCCTTCTCTAGCTCTAAGGAGGACTATTTTCTCCCTTCTTAATCTCTTAGGTCTGTTTTCACCCTTCTCCATCTCTAAGAAGGACAACTATTTTCCTTCTCCATCTATGAGGTCTACTTTCTCTATTCTCCATCTCTTTCTCCCTTCTCCAGATCTGAGAACTTCCATCTCTGAGAAGTTCTACTTTCTCTAACCTAAGCAAGAGTGGAGCAGACAACAAGAGCTGCGATGCTTATTGGGGCCAACCTACAGTGGAAGCAGAAGTCTCGCTTCTAGATCAAGCTCAAGCACTTCAAACGCTTGACTACTTTGCATACTAGATTATTTTGGTCCACAAGTCCCATGATCCTGATCAATGGCTGGTGTGGAGTGATGGGTTTTGTAGTGTCAAACATCTGGGTGAAATATCTACAACAATACGTTCTTGCTTGGGTCTTGGAATAGAACATTGGGAAGAAAAGGTGATATAGGATCTCAGAAGGAGTTGTAGACCCATGTCATGCCACCTTTTCCTCCTGAGTGATATCAGGGTACCATGAAACAAAGTGATAGGTCATTACCATCATCTATATAAATAGAATGCAGAGTATGTTTGTAAGGTAGGCCCCTCAGAGCTGGAAAAGGGAGAAAGTAGTCATTTTAAGAGATGAAAGAGAAAGTAGTCCTTTTCAGAAGGGAGAAAGTAGAACTGCTCAGAGATGGAAGTTCTCAGATCTGGAGAAGGGAGAAAATAGGCCTTCTTAGAGCTGGAGAAGAAAGAAATAGTCCTTAGAGCTGGAGAAGGGAGAAAGTAGGCCTTCTCATAGATTGAGAAGGGGAGGGGGGTAGATCTTCTCAAAGATGGAGAAGGAAGAAAGTTGTCCTGATTAGAGCTGGAGTAGGGAGGGAGTAGACCTTCTCAGAGATGGAGAAGGGAGAAAGTAAGCCTTCTCATAGTTGGAAAAGGGAGAAAGTAGTCCTTGTAGAGCTGGAGAATGCAGAAAGTAAATGGACAGCAGTCTCAATTACATCTGGCCAACACCGGGTATATATGCTAGTTTATCATAAAAACCAGAGCAGTCCAAAATCTCTGTACTGATGTTGATGCTATCTTCTGTCAAGTCAACTTCAGCCTACGGAGACCTTATGGAGGAGAAACTTCCAAGAGTCTTAGCTATTGTCAGCCCTGCTTCAGGCCTGGGCTATAGATAAGAAGTCTCAAAAACCTGACTCCTAAAAAGATATTACTGGCCAAGCAATGTCACTCCCTCCTAGAAAAGGGAACGTATTTGTGACCACACATCCAGATTCAACAATAAGTCATGAAATATCCAAATTAAACAGTGGTCAGTTTGTTCCAAGTTTAATGCAATCACATGAGAAACAGCCTTCTAATGTTTAGTAATATTCCTGAACAGGTAATAACATCTGGACATTGTCAAAATACACATATGCTCTGTGACCAACTGTATATTCACTAACATCAATTCAGATTATAACCATTTAATTGAATAAGTGGGTACTTTCCTCAAAGCACTGATGACCTTCATTAATGCCAAGATTGGAGACTGGGATGTGGAGCTAAACAAGAGATGATAATCATCATAAAGGATATTTTTAAGCTCTAATGCCCCAACTGGATTGTACTCGAAAACATCCAACTAGTGTACACTCAATGAATCAACGTTATCGACTCACCTGTGTTGGATCGCCTTCTAATGCCAAAGTCCCAACTCGAGGTAATATCAACCGACTGAGAGTAAACGTAACCCTGAGACTCTCCATTGTTGGCCTGCGTATCTGAGCTGCTCTCCCCATTGGACGAAGCGGGGTGGAATTTCTCCAGGTCAACGTCGTGGTCAATCAGGACCATTTCGCACATCCCAGTGTCATCGCTGGTCACGTGCGACTGCCGGATGTGAGCCAGGATAATGGTCGGGTTGTCCAAGAAAGCCATCGTGTCCAAGGATCTGTGGCCTTCCCCCTACTATCTTCTTCGATCCATGCTGAACCACAAACGTCTCTACCTAGAAAACATAGAATGGTGTTTTAATATACCTATTTACTAGCGTCTATACCTGGTGGTGCCTGGGTGTTGTTGGGAACGCCGCCCACCTACATTCTCCCTTCTCAAGCTCTGAGAAGGTCTACTTCACAATGTCTCCCTGGCAACTTTGCTCTTTCCTTCCTTTCTCTCTTCTCCTCATACACATATCACCTTTTTTCCCCTGAGAGGACCTATTTTCTCCCTTCTCCAGCTCTGAGAAGACCTATATTCTCCCTTCTCTATCTCTGAAGACCTACTTTCTCCCTTCTCTAGCTCTGAGGACCTACTTTCTCCCTTCTCCAGCTCTGAGAAGACCTACATTCTCCCTTCTCTATCTCTGAAGACCTATTTTCTCCCTTCTCCAGCTCTGAGAAGACGTACATTCTCCCTTCTCTATCTCTGAAGACCTACTTTCTCCCTTCTCTAGCTCTGAGGACCTACTTTCTCCCTTCTCCAGCTCTGAGAAGACCTACATTCTTCCTTCTCTATCTCCAAAGACCTACTTTCTCCCTTCTCTATCTCTGAGAAGACCTACATTCTCCCTTCTCCAGCTCTGAGAAGACCTACATTCTCCGTTCCCTATCTCTGAGGACCTTCTTTCTCCCTTCTCTAGCTCTGAGGACCTACTTTCTCCTTTCTCCAGTTCTGGGAGGACTTACATTTTCCCGTCTCCAGCTCTGCAGGCTTACTTTCTCCTCGAGTTCTGAGGGTCTGCTTTATCTCCTCTCTAGTTCTGAGGACCTACTTTCTCCTTTCTCCAGTTCTAGGAGGATCAATCTCACAATGCTTTCATGTCAACACTCTGTCAAGCACAAGTTCAGGATATGAACAGCCTCCTTAGTAGCAGATGGAAAGGAGTGATAGAGTTGACATCCAACTCCATAACCCCAGATGATCTCTCCCAATGGCTTCATGTAGATGTTAAACAACATAGCGGACAGTATTGAGCCCTGCGGGATCCCACAGGACAATGGATACAGGCCCGAGCATATGTTCCCAACAACACCTTCTGGGAACGGTCCTCCAGGAATGACCAGAGCTACTGCAAAACAGTACCTCCAAGGGAAGTGTGTCAGGCTGGAAGGAGGCTCGAGCCAGCGAGTCCCTTCAAAGCATGGAAGTTCTGTGTGGGAAAATTGGCCCAATTCTATCATTCATGGGGTTCAGCATGCTCTCTGATTGTACAAATCCCAGCAATTACAATTTCCAAATGTCAAGGTCTGTATTCCCCAAACTCCACCAGTGTTCCCATTTGAGCATATTGAGTATTTGTGCCAAGTTTGATTCAGATTCATCCACTGTGAGTCCACAGTGCTCTCTGGATATAGGTGAACTACAATTCCAAAAGTCAAGGTCAATGCCTACCAAACTTTCCCAGTATTTTCAGTTGGTCATGGGAGTTCTGTCTGCCAAGTTTGCTTCAATTCCATCGTTGATGGATTTCAGAATGCTCTTTGATTGTAGGTGAACTATAAATCCCAGCAACTACAACTCCCAAATGACAAAATCAATCCCCCCTCCAACCCCACCAGTATTCAGATTTGGGTGTTATCAGGTATTTGGTCCAGTGAATGAAAATATATCCTGCATATCAGATATTTACATTACGATGCATAACAGTAGCAAAATTACAGTTAGGAAGTCTCAACGAAAATTATTTTATGTTTGGGGGTCACTATAGCATGAGGAACTGTATTAAGGGGTCGCGGCATTAGGACAGCTGAGAAACACTGTCCTAGACCATGGGTGCATCCACACTGCAGAATTAATGCAGATTGGCATCACTTTAAATGCAATAACTCAATGCTATGGAATTAGGAGATTTGTAATTTGACAAGAGTATTTCTTTTGCCTTTCCCTGTCAGAGTGTTCGTGTTTCATAAAACTACCTCTCCCAGGATGATTTCAGATATTGGAGAGACTTCATAGCACAAAAGGGAGGTGGGTTCCCTTTGTAAGTACCACGTTCCCTCCAAAAAGTAAAAAACCCAACGCACCTTAAAGACCTGCAAAAAAAGAAAGAAAACCCAACTCCCAATCAAACATTACTGCTGCCCTATCAACGTGTCATATAAACGCTGGCATGTTAATTGTGTATTTATAAAATGGTTAATGGCTAGTTAATTTACCTCCCACACTATTATTGTACTTGAAAATGATTTAACGTCTGCCGAGGGAGTTAACAACATGTTAACGGCAGATGTATCGGCTGCTCTATTTATTTGAATCCTTCCACGCCAAAACCTGGGCTTCAAACCGCTTTACAGCCAGGATTGTTAAACAGGTTCAGAATTCTTTGTATCGCTTTTTAATGAACAGTTGGCACTCCTTTCGTTAGACGACAGGAAAGAGAAGGATGTTGGCTAATCTGATTCTATGGTCAGATGGAGTCCACTTCTGATGACTAGACTGAGAGGAGAAAACATCAGAAGACGGCCATTGAGCATCACATCCTGTTTCTAAACTTCCCAATGGGTTGGAAACAGATGGCTGAGCTAGCTTGGAAACTCTTTCACTCTTTGTGTTGTTGAAGGCTCTCATGGCCGAAATAACTAGGTTGCTGTGAGTTTTCCTGGCTGTCTGGCCATGTTCCAGAAGCATTCTCTCCTGGCATTTCACCCACAGCTATGGCAGGCATCCTCAGAGATTAGGAGGTCTGTTGGAAATTAGGCAAGTGGGGTTTATATACCTCGGTGGGAGAAAGAACTCTTGTCTGCTGGAGGCAAGTGTGAATGTTGCAATTGGCCACCTTGATTAGCACTGAATGGTTTTGCATTGAGGGAATCATTGACCGCATAGTCTCCAGGGCAGCAGAATACAAGCCTGCTCTCCCTCCCTTAGGACAGCCTTTCAAATATTTAAACATAGCTCTCATGGCTCCTCTTGACCTTCTCTTCTGGGGCTAAATGTACCCATGCTCCTCAGAAGGATTCATGGTCTCCAGACTTTTGATCCTTTTAGTCACCCTCCTCTGGACACCTTCCAGCTAGTCAATATCTCTCTTAAATTGTGGTGGTCAGAATTGGACACAGTATTCCAGGTAAAGTCTGACCAAAACAGAATAAAGAGGCGCCATGACTTGATTGATCTAGACATTAGACTCCTTTTGGTGTAGCCTAAAATCCCATTGGCCCTTTTAGCTTCTGCATCACACTGTTGGCTCATGTTCAACTTGTTGTCCAGTAAGACTTCAAGATTGTGTCTTTATGGTACAATGTGGGTCGGAATGGATCACAGAGCCTCTTCTCACACCAAAGTTACACAGGAGCTTCACATAGTAGCTTTACACACAGCAGCCTTCACACGGGCGCTTCACACATGATGGCCTTCAACCTGGGGCTTCTCTCACCGAAGCTTCTCACACCAGGCCTTCTAACACTGAGGCCTTCTCACACTGAGGGCTCTCTCAGACTGAGGCAAACTAACACTGAGGCCTACTAACACACTGAGGCCTTTCTCCCACTGAGGCCTTTTCACACTGAGGGCTCTCTCATGCTGAGGCAAACTAACACTGAGGCCTACTAACACACTGAGGCCTTTCTCCCACAGAGACCTCTCACAGACTGAGGGTTCTCTCAGATTGAGGGCTCCTAAGCTACAGGCACACCTGCTTATATTGAACTACAGCTTTTGCTGAGTCACTGCATCCATTTAACCTTTTCAGTACTTGACTCACATTTTTGTGATTATTATTTTTTTATTTTTTAATATTTCTGACATAGATGGCTTGGGGTCTCTTAGAAGAAAAAAGAGAATACTTACTTTGAAGAATTGTTGACTGTGAGTCTACGAAGCTGCCTTAGAGTGAATCAGACCATCCGTCCATTGAGCCCAGTGCTACTAACTCTGCCAGTAACTCTCCAGGGTTCAGAGACAGTGATTTCTCCACTTTTTGAGAGTACTTTGTTTAGCTGGAAACGCTGAATCTCGAACCTGGGACCTCTTCTGTGCAAAACACGTGTTCTACCATGAAGCAACGGTCCCTAGCCATACTTCAGTTCCTATAGGGAGAGAGAAGGGGGGGGGGGGGGGGGGGGGAGAGTGCACCAATTTAATATAATTTTTAAAGAGAAAGCTTTCAGAAAACAGCACCACACACCCTCACCTGGGATCTAATGCTTGCAGATGCCTGTCAAGTATAAATACATCTGCTAAGAAACACCGCTCCTAAATACATTTCTTATCCAGAGCTTCAAAGCAGTACATTAAGAGCAATTTTCTTCCTTGCTATCCATCCCACCCGAAGTAACAGGGGCCAACAAGTAGTAAGCATTATAACAATAATTATGTTAACATTAGGGTAGAGGGGGGATTGGTGGCTGTTGTAATTTTTCCTGTCTTAAAAAGGCAACATTGACAGTTGATGTTGCATTACTTGTTACACATGAATACTGAGTAACTTTGATACGGAATGTGATACTCCTTAAACTAACAAATAACACTTTAGTTTAAATAAAATGCAAGCCTAACACTTGTATGAATGTTAATTTGACAAGATGATTAAATCTGCATGGATATGCCTTCCTTTCCTCAAGTGACAAAGAAATCTTACTCTTAAGAGGAGGCAGCAGAGAAAGCGCTAACTTTTCCCCTAAACATTTGTGTAAAGAAAAAAGAAACCATTGTTATGTTTTAAAAGAAAATACAGAGTGGCTTTGAAATCAATCTCTTTCCTTCCTTCCTCCCTTATCACCCCCTTTCTCCCTCTCTCCCTTGTTTCTTCCCTTCCCCCCTTTTGTTCTTCCTTCCCTCTTTCCTCCCTCCTTCCCCATCTCTTTCTCCTTCCTTCCTTCTCTCCCTCCCTTTTATTTTTCTTCCCTTCCCTCTTTCCTCCCTCTCTCCATTCCCTTCTACCCTTCCTTGCTTCCATCCTTCACTTCCTTCCCTCCCTTTTTCACCCTCTCACCCTTCTTTCTTCCCATCCACTCTTTTGTCCTTCCTTCCCTCCTTCCTCCATCCTGACCCTCCCTTTCTCTCTCCGTTCTTCCTTCTTTCCCTCTTTTTCCTCCCTCCCTCCATTCCTTTCCACTTTTCCTTCCTTCCATCCATCCTTTTCTTCCTCCCTTTCTTCTCTCTTTCCTTACTTCCTCCTTCTCTCCCACCCTCTCATCCTTCCTTCCTTCCCTCTTTCCTCCCCCTTCCCTCTCTCTTTCTCCTTCCTTCCCTTTTGTCTTTCCTTTCTTCTCTCTTTCCTCCCTCCCTCTATTCCCTTGTACCCTTCCTTGTTTCCATCCTTCTCTTCCTTCCTTCCCTCCCTCTTTCGCCCTCTCACCCTTCTTTCTTCCCATCCACTCTTTTGTCCTTCCTTCCCTCTTTCCTCCATCCTGACCCTCCCTTTCTCTTTCCTTCCTTCCATCTATTTCCTCCCTCCCTCCATTCCCTTCCACTTTTCCTTCCATCCATCCTTCTCTTCCTCTTTCTTCTCTCTTTCCTTCCTTCCTCCTTTCCTCCCACCCTCTTGTCCTTCCTTCCGTCCCTCCCTCTTTCCTCCCCACTCCTCCCTCTCTCTTTCTCCTTCCTTCCCTTTTGTCTTTCCTTCCTTCTCTCTTTCCTCCATCCCTCCATTCCCTTCCACCCATCCTTCTTTCCTTCCTTCCTCCTCTTTTTCCTTCCTCCTTTCTTCCTGGGGGATGTTTCTCTGGGAGAAGAGAAGGTAGAAAGGGAACATGAGAACCATGTTTCAAGATGTCAAAGGGTGTCCCATTGAGGAGGGGGAAGAGGGAAGGGGAAAACTGACTTTCTGCTGGTCTAGAGACCAGGGCACAAGGGAGCAATGGGTTCACATGGAAGGGAAAGAGATTCAACTGAAAAGATTAGGAAGAACTTCCTGAGAGTAAGAGCTGTTGGAGAATGGTGATGGCTGCCTCGGAACGTGGTGGAGTCTCCTTCTCTGGAGGCTTTTCCGCAGAGCTTGTCTATTGGAAGTCCTTTGATTGTGCCTTCTTGCATGGCAGGGGGTTGGACTGGATGGCCCTTGAGGGTATCTTCCAGCTCTAGGATTCTATATCAGGAGTAGGCAACACAGGGCCTCATGGATGCACTTTTTTCTCTCCCATCCACCATCTCATCCTGACCAAGGCTAACCCTTTTGGAATCCAAATGTTTCCTGCCTTTCATTCACTTTCTGCCTCCAAAAGAGAAGAGGAAGAGGAGGAAAGGGCAGGGAACCCCCTCTTGCCTGACCTGCCCACCCCACTCAGCCCACCATGCAGTCCACAAGTTAGAAAGTTTGTCCATGCCTGTTACAGACTCACGTACAAGTCTAGAAATCTTTGGCCAAAAATATCAACCCAAAAAAGTAGGTTGACTTATTCAAAGGTTGTCTCTTATAGAGGAAACATTAGGAGCCCCCAGTGGCACAATGAGTTAAACCCTTGTGCCAGCAGAACTGAAGACCGACAGGTCGGAGGCTCAAATCCGGGAAGAGCATGGATGAGCTCCCACTGTCAGCTTCAGCTCCCTGTGCGGGTACATGAGAAAAGTCTCCCACAAGGATGGTAAAACATCAAAAGATCCAGGCATCCCCTGGGCCATGAACCTGCAGACAGCCAATTCTCTCACACCAGAAGCGTCTTGCAGTTTCTCAAGTCTCTCGTGACAAGGAAAATAAAAGGAACAATTTCCGGGTTGTTGTAGGTTTTCTCGGGCTATATGGCCATGTTCTAGAGGCATTCTCTCCTGACGTTTTGCCTGCATCTATGGCAAGCATCCTCAGAGGTAGTGAGGATGCTTGCCATAGAAAAAAACCTACAACAACCCGGTGATTCCGGCCATGAAAGCATTCGACAATACTAGGAACAATTTCCTCAATGTATCCATAATCGTAGCAGAATCCATCCTTTGGGTCCTATCAGAGTCCATGATTTGGGCCCCAAAGCCTGTCCTTGACTCCTGCGTATACATACAGTATATATTTCATCCCATTTGGTCAAAGCTTTGTCTGTAAACCAACTCTTCCTCGGACATAGCGATATCCCGCATCAATATGTTAAGCAAATAAATAAGGGGTTTGGTGGGTGAGGAAATCGCCGCACTTATAAATTAGGCCAGACAAATCCGTTCCTCAAACTCCCGCCTGCAAAGAGCATTCTATCAATATAGCGAAATGCTAATCTCCTAATTAACAACCTAATTAGGTAATTATGGCTTTGCAGAGGGACGCCTAAATGAAATATGACAACATGGTCACCTCTTTATACGGCACCTGTGGGCCTTTTCAGCTGTCACCACAAAGAGTGCAATATCAATTGGAACAGATGACAAAGCGGTGTCATTTTTCATTCCGATATTGTGCTGAGCAGGACGGGACGGGAGCCGTTTTCAAAAAAAAAAAAGCAGCATCTTGCCTGATTTAGATGTGTTTGAGGCAGAATGCTTGATAATATATATATAATAAACAAAACTCCCAACATGAATGTGATTGAATTTGGCATACTGGCAGACAAGGAGGCAGAAGAACTTTGCTGTTCCCTTTGTTGTTCTGATAGTATGCAGTGCTTTCAACTTAGGGCTGACTCTGCCATGAGGCAAACTAAGACGATTGCTGTGAGTTTTCCGGGCTGTATGGGCATATTCCAGAAGCATTCTCTCCTGTCTTTTCACCCACATCTATGGCAGGCATTCTCAGAGGCATTTCCAAACTCCTCAACCTCTGAGAATGCCTGCCATAGATGTGGGTGAAGACAGGAGAGAATGCTTCTGTAACATGGCCATGCAGCCCGGAAAACTCACAGCAACCCAATGATTCCAACCATGAAAGCCTTAGAAAACACATAGAATCATCTTAGTTTGCCTCATGGCAGAGTATGAGGATGACTTGGGAAGGAATCCCACTGGAGCATTGCAGCACACCCAAATACCTGGGAGTCACTCTGGACCATGCTCTGACCTACAAGAAGCACTGCCAAAACAGAAACAATTGCTAGAAACAATATCATGCGAAAGCTGACTGGCACAACCTGGGGATCACAACCAGACACAGTGAAGACATCTGCCCTTGAGCTATGCTACTCTGCTGCTGAGTATGCATGCCCAGTGTGGAGCACATCTCACCACACTAAAACAGTTCTTAATAAGACATGCCGCATTATCACGGGGTGTCTGCGCCCTATACCACTGGAGAAATTACACTGTTTAGCCAGTATCGCACCATCTGACATCCGCCGGGAAGTAGCAGCCAATAGTGAAAGGACCAAGGCAATGACATCTCAAGGGTATCAGCCAGCACGTCAACGACTTAAATCAAGAAATAGTTTTCTAAGATCTACAGAGACACTCGCTGGAATGCCCCAGCAAGCAAGAGTCCAAAAGTGGCAGGCTCAAACCCAGAACTTCAATCAATGGCTGATACCAAATGAGAGACTCCCCCTGGGCACACAGAAAACTGGGCGACTTGGAAGGCGCTGAACAGACTGTGCTCTGGCACCACGAGATGCAGAGCCAATCTTAAGAAATGGGGCTACAAAGTAGAATCCACGACATGCGAGTGTGGAGAAGAGCAAACTACAGACCACTTGCTGCAATGCAACCTGAGCCCTGCTACATGCACAATGGAGTACCTCCCTGCGGCAACACCAGAGGCACTCCAAGTGGCCAGTTACTGGTCAAAGGACATTTTAATCAACTACCAAGCTTGCAAATTCTGCGTTTTGTCTGTTTGTTTGTTTGTTTTTGTTAAAAATGCAATACAAATGTCTGGTTGTCAATGACACGATAAATAATTAAATGGCAGAGTCAGCCCTAAGTTGAAAGCACTGCATACTATCAGAACAACAGGGACAGCAAAGTTTTTCTGCCACTTTAGACACCTCACTCAGTCTGCACCCAAGTTGCTTTCTGGAAGGGAAAGCTGGAGCCACACGAGTCCTCCCGATGTTAAAGGCAACCTAAACAACTCATCTGTGCACTGAAGAAGCAATGACCTCAAGCCCCCGCACGCAGAGGGAGTTACAGCAAAACACACAGAACTGTTTGACAACTTAGTTGTAATAAACCACTTAGAGCAGCCAAG